TGTGCGCAACTTTCGCCCCACTATGTGCAAAAACATAAAGAATTAAAAGTGTAACAATAGCATCAATAAAATTTAATTCTAATTTTATAGTACTTACTCTCCAACTTTATCTTTAAGCTCAGCTTGAATTGATGGAACACGAACTCCACCACCAACTAATACGCAAGATTGAATATCAGCCTATTAAAATTAAAACAAAATTAAAGAAACCATAAATATTTACCGATAAAAGTGATTTAATAAGGATAATTATGATACTTACTAAAGTTAATTTGCCGTTACTCAACGCAGTATTAATAGGGCCAATGACGCGTTTTCTAAGATCATCAGTTATTTCTTCAAATTTACTTCTTGTAATAGGTAGTCGAAAATCAAGATCTTCGTGTAAATTTTCTATCTGCAAAATTAATGCGCAATAATGAATTATATTATATGTGAGACTATGATACAAATTAAAGTAAAATATTTCGGTTTAATACTAACCGAAGCAATAGCATCTGTGTTAGCGCTGAGAATTTGTTTCACTCTATTGGCTTCTTTATAAAGTTTTGTCATGGAACGTTCCGATGTGAATATAGATGATTTTAATTTTCCACTAAATTTCTTGTCAAACTCTTCGGCAAAATATCTTTGAAGGCGAATATCAAATTCTTGTCCGCCAAGAGTTCGATCATAGCCAACTGATAACACTTCAAGGTTGATAATTGTTTTGTTAAAGCGGCCCACATCTTTGACATTTGATGTTTTGAAACTTATCAAGCTTGCTTTAGTACTACCAGCGCCCATATCATAAAACACGTGATATTGCGGTTCTTCCGTAAACGAAGTAAAACGGGAAATCGCGTAGTTCAATCCAACTAAATTTTAAATTCGGTATAATAAATATCAATAAAATGCAAAGGAATGCTTATTTTTTTAAAAAAAAAAAGTTGAATACTATAAAACGCACCAGCTGTTACATCATTTATCAACGTAAGAACATGAAGACCAGCAAGATCGGCAGCATCTAAAACTGCTTGCCTCTCGAATTGATTATAATATGGAGGTACCTAATACGAATTAAAAATCGTGATTTAAGAGATTTTATTATCATTTACAAGAGAAGTTCTGTGGATGAGCATGTGATACATTTGAAATTCAATAAATACCGTAATTACAACATCTTTAATGGCTTCTTGAGCAGTCGCCTCGGCCTGTTCTTTGGCATGAGCAAATTGCATTGCAAGAAGTTCTTCCACCGAGAAATTAGTAGTCTCATTATGTTGAAAAACAACTGTTCCACGAATTGGATCTGGTACTATTTTATTCGGAAAGACTGACTGATAATCTTTTATGATTTTATCATCAACCAATCGTCCGAGAACCTTTTTGACACTAAAATATGTGTTGAGTGGAAACCGTGCGCCCTAAATTCATATCAATTCAAGCGTTATCTATGGATCACTATAAAGTCGCAATATAGATTGTATCTTACAATAAATGATCACGATTTAAGAATTATATGATATTTTTTTAAAAATAATCCATATTTTTAATTTTCACTCACTAGATTAACAGCATCAGAACCATAAATTCTTTCTTCACCACGTATTGTCAACGCTGATTGGGTTTTACGCTTTGAGTCTCTATTTAACACTATATCAAGAGGTATTCCCGGCTTTACGAGAGCGACTTTAAACCAATCCGTTCCGTAGTCGATGGCCATTACTGCAGCTTCACTTACCGATAGCGCAAATAGCGCTATTAAAGTAATAGCTACAATAAATTTATATATCATTGTTAAAATAAAAATAAATAAAAAAGAAACCAAAGATAAAATTTTTTTCGTCCGTTGAAGATAGTTTTTTTTTATAATAAGTTTTGTCACACTTTTGTGTGTTGTTTAATTTTTATTGGATAATATTTCTGTGTTAATTTGATTCGGTACCGATCTCAAACTGTCGCAGATCGCCCTATATATAGATGATCAAAGTTTGTTATACGGTATTGCTATATTTGGTTATCAGTCTCGTGCCTGATATAAATAAATCATCAATTTTTAAATACTGCAAACAGACATGGAAGGTAAGTCAACTTTTTTTAATGAATAAAAGGAAGTTTCTTTATAAATATCTTTTTTTTTTAGATTTTCAGAGAAATCAATTTAATAGCTCAGAAATGTGGAAAACAAAATCTTTACAATATGGTTTTCCTTCCTTTCAGGTACTTCTTAAAGGATTTATTTCTTATAACAAAGTCATGTATTAACATTTATATTCTTTAATGTTCTACATCAGAAACAACAACACCATCTATTCCTAAGATTCCAGTTTCAATGATAAAAATGTTCAGGTTCATGATGGAGTGTTAAAATTATGACAATTGTTCAGAAATTAATACGTGAACGCATCTAAGTCAAATGAGACCCAATACACCAGTTCAGACTCTCACTCTCACAATAAAAGTAATGGAAAGATAAACAAAGTATCCTTGCCAAAATTGCAGGATGTGCTGTGTTACCTTTTTAATCAATTGAAAGATGAACTTCATAACTTTACGGAAAAGGATATGTAACTTCTGAATATAGACCATAGAGAAACTTTTGCTAAAATCTTTAAAATTACTAAAAATTTTTCCTTTATATTTAGACTGTTCTGAATTTGTAATATGATTCTTAGATAAAAAGCTTGTTTATGTAGAATCAAATGGAGTGTAACATAATATATATAGGATTTGACTTAGAAGAAAAAATTACAAATTATCTCATCCATCCAAATAGGATATGTTACATCATTGAGAATACTTTTGAGTGAGAACTTGTAAATAAATATGAACATTGATTGGAAAAAGAATTTAAAAATCACATAAAAAAAAGTTTAAGAAGAAGATTTTAAAAATTAAGGTTAATCTTATGGTTTAAAAAGAAAAAAAAGCAAGAAAAAATTGAGTATGAATAAATAATTTTATCATCATTTATAAAAGGCATTAACAAAGCTTTATTTGGTGTTAAAGTTCTTTAAAAACTTTTTAGATTTATATATTTTAGAATTAAAAAGTATGTAACAAAAGAATTATAAAACTGCAATTTGTTTCATGAAAACTTTATTGTAAAAATTTTTATTTTTGTAAAGGAAAAAAGTGAATGACAACCAAATTAAAATTAAAGTAGCGAGTTTAAAGAGAGATAAAAGATCATAAAAAGTCCATGTTTGCTCACCTCTAATTATTTTTTATATAGTAAAAGAAATGGCAGTCCCTTTTCACTACTCTGTAATATCTAAATTTTTCATTAATTTTACTATTTACTCATAAACTGATATCATTTACATAGTAATATAACCATCCTTTTTGATATTCCTTTTATAAAACCCTTGAACTTAATATTTTCACCTAATTCATGAATTTCTATTGTCTAAGTTATATTTTTTTCTTTCTTAATTTGATCAAAAATTTCCTAGAATTGGGTTCAGATAATTAGATTAATTCAGTAGTGGTAGAAAATACTGATAATTTTTTTTTTAGATTTCAGAATCAATCACGTTTTTTTCCTAAACAAAATAAAATTGTGATATAAAAAACTTGTTTACATCCTATTTAATAAAATCTGCAGCTTAGCTATTACATGTCCTACACAATAGTCTAAGATGTCTTACTCTATTAATTAACTTGGTTAAATTATAAAATCACAAAAGTATGCTTTAAATAAAGAAATAATAGAAGCATTAAAAAAAAGTATTCTGATTTAATATTGCATCATATATGATTAGAGAATTTCAAATTCTTAGGTATAAAGTTTGTATTCTTTATCTGTTATCTTTTTCTTATTCAGAATATTATGAATTATTATGTTACTTAAATTAGAAATTAAAGAAAGATAGAATAATGTTATATTTTTTGATAAGTTATCATTTCAAATATTTTATAACTCAATCCTAGGTTATTATAAAGATAAAGAACCAATGCTAAAATATGTAATAATCAAATATTTCTTTAAAGTTAATGTATAAGATGCTAGAGTTCTGAAAATAACTTGTATAAACTTATATATATAATTGTAAATTTAGTTACATATAATAAATAAGTACTTTAAATTAAAGATATATAGAATAATTTTGATTTAAAACTTAACTCAACTTAATTTATTAAGAATACTATAAGAAGCATTTTATGTAAAAGAAATTATCAGTTTTCACATATTCATTAAGAATTTAAATAATATAAATAGAAAGTTTTATCAGAAAATTATAAACAAAAATTTATTTGAATAAGCTATAAGTATCATATTAAACTAATAAATTACTTTTTATAAAAATATTATTTTGATTAACTGTCTTTATTATCAAATCTTAATCTAATCAAAAATTTGTAAAAATAATCAAGAGAAAAAGAATTTATACTGAAAAAGAATCTGTTATGTAAAATTTTTTTATAAATTAATAAAAGAAAAATAGGAAATAATTGATAAAAATTTATGCATTAATCTTATGAGATTTATATTAAGATATTTAAAATTGGTAATAAAAAATTAAGATTACATAATAAATTTTTGAAATTTTAATATTTTTATAATATGAATTTTAAAGTTATAATATTAAATTTTTATAATTTTTTAATAAAAATCAGGTAAAATAATCACTAATTTTTTATTGTTATATTTTTTTTATTATTGTATTTTTGAAGGATATTTGACTTAGCCTAAAAAAGACATATTGTAAAATATAAATTATTAATAGACTATTATTTCATATTTTGCTTATTTATTAGATAAACTTTTAGAAAAATGAGTTTAAGATAATCTGCTTATATAATATATAGTATTAGAACTTTTAATTTAACAAATGTTTCAAAATTTTTTAAAGAATTTTATATCACATGATTAGTAATTGATCAATAAAAAATAAGATATTAATCATTTTTTATATATCATTTTAAAATTATAATAATTTAGATTAATATTATAATTAATTATTATATTACCAGCTCAAATTTTAATCAATAATATATGTTATAAATTTAGAATAATAATATAAAAATTATTTAGTTTTAAATACTTGTAATTTTATATAAAATTTATTTTGAAAAACTGACTGATAATTTAATAAAACTTATTTTAAAGAATAAAGTTACCAGTTTATTTTTTTCTAAATTTTATTTTTTTAAAGAATTGAAAGATTTTTAAGTGTTATATTTATATTGTTAAGTATAGATTTTATATATTACAATGCGAAACCTCTATAATAAAAACTTAAAAAAAAACATTAATAAAATTTAATCTATTGATTAGATTTTAATCAAATAAAAAAAATGATTTAAATTTGTAAAAATAAATCAATTTATAAAAAAAAAATTTTTTTTTAATTTTGTAAATTATATAAATATTGTGTAATATATATATAAGCCAATCAGAAACTAGAATTAAAAATTGTATAAAATAATTTATTTTATTTTATTTTATTATTTTATTATAAATTACATTAGATACATGATAATAAACTTATATTTTTTTAGTTACAACTTTACTATTTTTCTAATATTACCTTTTCTATAAATATTTATAAATCGCCATGATTTTTATACATATTTTTGAATTGTAATTAAAAGAACTTAATCTAATACTTTAGAAAAAAATTATTATAATCCAATCTATATATAATTATAATATTCTTATGTATTTCTTTTGCTATATCTTAATACATCTTTATATATTCAATTTATAATAATATTTAAGTTAAATATATATAAATAATAAAAAATCATTCTTATAAATTTATTATTACATATTTTTTTCAATTTTAGTTTTTATAATTAATTTTGAATAAATTTAATCTGGTATAACTTTATTAATATTAAAGATATTATAATTCTAATCCAAGATTCTTAAAACAAAGGTCATGATTTATTTATTTTATGGATTAAATCTTCAATTTTATATATAATAAAATTTTTTTTGCATTTTAAATTTGTTCTATTTTTATTATAGTAAAGTTCCTATTATAAAGATTTTGCACTGTATAATAAATCACATGTTATATATTATTTCATAATACATAGATATATATTATCTTTTATTTTGCTTTAGATAGGATTTGATTATAGAACTAATTTCAATTTGATTTGAGAATCAAATTTAAATTGAAATTAAACCGAGTCAAATCAATTTTTAGATCAGTTTAGATAGTTAATCTATATAAATACTATATTACATAAATTATAAAATATGTTAATCATTTTAATTTAAATTATTTTTATTTTATATTATTTTTTATATTGCAAAATGTCTAGCAGCAATGATTATTTTTTACTGTACGGCTTATGTATGCCATACAGTAAAGATCACTGATGTACACTTTTTTAGAAAGAATATACGCAATGCGTACAGTTTATCACAGAAAAATTATAATAAATTATACGCTATAATTTATTTTAATAGATAATTTATTTAATTTATCTATTTGCTATACAGAATAATTTTCCAAATTGTGTACCATCTGCACAGTAATTTTTATTGAAAAATTAACACTGTTTAGCAGTTTAATTTCAAATGAAATGATAATAATTTTATAAATGTTTCTTCAACTTCTTAATAACTAAAGAAAATTTCTATATAATAACTTATAAGTCAAATATATAATATTTTTTTTAAAGTTTAAATAAAAAAACTAGACTAATAATAAATTATAAATATATTTTATATGTTAAAATTTTATTCACCTGGTAATTCAATAATTATTCTTCAAAAATATTTAATTAAAAATATTCATTTTATTATAAAAAACTGAAATTATTAAATTACATTAA